AGACTTGCCACGGTCTCCAACCCTCCTCCTTTCTCATCCGGGCTTGGGACCGGCCATGGCGGAGTTATAAATGTTTATATTTAAGTAAAATTAGTTTTCTTGCATATGAATCATTTACTAACAAAGTGGCTCCTTATTTTTCTTGAGAGATAGTATCAAAAGATTCTTTCGCGTTTCGCGAGATTGTTGAGAACTCGTTGAGTTTTCCCCCTCTGATGTAATATGCTTTGTTGACCGGGAGAAAGCCTGTAATCGTATTCCATTCAACAATCTGTGGGTGAGCCTGTCAGCAAATGGAATCGATGATCAGTTACTACTGGCCATGCAGGTCACTATATGCTGACAGCAGGTACTACGTCAGATTAAATGGCTTTAATTCGAGGCCTTTCAGCATTGGCACTAATCTCCGCCTAAAGCTACTACGAGATTCCTCTCCTAATTGTGTTGTTTATGGACAGTGTAGTCGGGCGTAGCCCTGGCGATGAGTATGTCAGGGTAGGAGATGTGGAGACGAGGAGGTTGCTGTTTGAAGACGACCTTATCTTTTAGCATCTACTGAAGCTCATCTACAACGCTCTCTGGAAAGATTCGTAGCTGAGTGCGACGTGGCCGACATGCTGAGTGAACGTGTCTACAGCGAAAAGCCTAGTGCTTTCTCGTTCCCCTGCTCGTTGCTCTATTCAGATAAATGCAGAAGCAGTGGAGTAGGTTTAGAAATTCAAGTACCTAGGGGTCGTGTTTACTAGTGATAAAAAAAGGGAAGAAGTGATCGGCCAGTGAATTGTATTTCCCAGCAGCGTTCTGAGTGAATTAGCCTGAGCGGTTGTGACTGAAGACTAAGCTCTCTGTGTGCAAGCCGATCTACATTCCAGTGCTCTACAATGTTAATGATTCACGGGTCGTAACTGAAAATATTTACTTTTGGGTACAAGCAGCTGAAATTGGCTTTTTAAGATGAATCGCTGGACTGAGATGTGTCGATATAGTCCAGAGTAGCGATGTCCGAGAGAACCTTGATGTCCAGTTTTTGTTTCTCTATGTTGACAAATGACTGTTGTGATGGTTTGGGCACGTCTTGTGAATGTTTCCAGAAAGGAAGGCGAAACAGCTACTATTTGCCCATCCGACCTGCAAAAGACCCCTGAGATGTGAAGGATAAATTTGTGTATCTTGAAAGACTGCGTTGCAGGCTCAGGTTATTTTTCGCGGAAACTCAAACGCTGACAAGGATTAATAATTTTGGAGACTCTGTTTGTCGAGTGTGCCTGCGCGACCCGAAAGAATAACCGACCATCGATGCTGACGTTTAACTGGCTGATGTATAGAACTTTATTTTTTGTGTTCGTTTTTATTTGTTTTAGGCTGTTTTAAACTTCTTAGTTTTTTAGCTGAAGCAGTTTTGCAAAACCTGTCGAATTGCCAGCTACGGCAACGAGATAAAGAATCTATGTACTCGACTTCAGGAGCAGAGTCATTACATCGAAGAGCGTAGAAAGTCATGTACGTTTAATCTGAAAGACCCAGAAATGATGAAACAGTTCGAAGAACAGGTTAAGTGTTCGGCCGACGTTCCTTTCTTGCTGTACTATTCAGCTTTTCGCAAAATGAAAGATCGCGATAGCAGGATAAAGCTGGCCGTTACTAATGAGGTAACATCGGTGAAGTACCCTCACTTTTTAAGGGTTTTTCTGTACTGTCAGAGTTAATATTATTCACGTTTCTCTCAACTATGTATTCTTTGTACCATTTTATTCCTCTGATGTTTAATTTTCAAGGCTTGCTGATAGTGTTTATTATTCCCGCATGCTGCGGAGCCAAGGAAGCTCTTCTGATGAATAATAAATTCACGATAATAATTTTGATTGCAATAAACAGCAGTTTTAGAGTATGATTGGGTTACTAGCATATAATTGTGCCTATTGTCCGGTCACTTACTATACAGGGAAAGTTTGTACCCGTTTTGATGTTTTTCTCCCTTAAGATTCGGTGACGGATCATTCGTTCATAGAGCGTATGGTACTGTAGTGATTTCATTTTCGGCGCCATCTGCGAGTAGCGTGTTGTTTTAGGTGCACAGTCTGCAGCTCTGTGGAAATTATGGCACGCATCCTTCTGTTTTCTGTCCCACAGAGTGTTACCTATTGAACATGGTAGGCCTTGAATTCTTAACGTTTTAGCCCATCAAAGAGACCGAGTATGAACTTTGAACACACACTGTTTAGTAAAGATAAGTACATATTAGGTTCATAGATAAGACCGCCTTGAATGGTAACAACGAAGCGCAAAACGGCGGCTATAAACTTCAGGGGGGAAAATTGTTCACGATGACCGTTTATCTTGGAAGTGCAAGGGAGATAGAGATTATAACAGGTACATAAAATTACATAATGCTAACCTTTCCAGATATAAGTTAACAAATTCTAGCAGTTACATAAAACTTTTCCGCAATTTTGTTTTTTTTTATTTTAGTTAAACACAAGACCTATTTAGTGCAGATATGTTATGGATAACTCATTGCTAGTGTTTTTCTTGTGAACTCCTATACGCATTTAGCTACAGTGAAACTTTAGGAATTAAACAGACTCCAAGAAGAACGTAACCAGCCTGAAGAAGACGATTTTAACTGCACTCCAGCCAGGAAAAAGAAACGTTCCATGAAGTCACCAAAGTTATCTCGACAGCAGGATCGGACTCTCGGCAAGAACTCGCAATTTTCAGCCGATGATGACATGTTAACGGAGTTGCGGCTGTCCGATTCTGAATAAACGATTTTAATTCATCGCTGTCAAGAGGAGAGATGCAGTTGACGGTCGCTCAACATTCCATATCACAGGTGTTGCTTCGAATCATCAACAGCATGAATGTCGGTAATTCTACTGCCTTTAATGCCACCAGCAAAAAATAACGAGTCTCAGCTCAATGTGCAGGACAAATTTTGACAGCGTTGTGTTCTAGCGTAGTGCATGATGACACAAGTGGTTTGTGGGTTTTCGGTCTGTTTTGTCGGATGCGCTTGTTGTAGGTGTAAGAGAGCGCTGTGCATTCCGTGAACAGTAACGGACTATTAGCACCTCGTTTGAATGGTAATAAAAATAAAACTGCAGATTTGCCAAGGAGTTCATATTTTAATTTACCAATTTGAATTTGGATGATTAACGTTAGTTTGGATTTCAAATTTCATACTCCCATTCTTGACAAATACTTTAGCGTTTCGACTGTCCGTTAAAGAACTTCACAGCATAGTAATCTACATCATCAGTCTTTTTTCGAAGAATAATGATCCATCTTCAGGAAACAAAATGTGGCAGTGAAATAGTCAGTCAGTCAGTCAGTTTCGAGGGTGCTAACAGTAAGTTAATTATTGGTTGATTGCTTTGCACAGCTTTTAACGCGAATATCCATTAACAGGGGTTCGACCCGATGATCAAATCGAGCATCTACTTCTGTGCACAAGCTTCCTTATATCTTTTATACTGATGCATTCTTCGATGCTCGAAAAAAATGTTAATAATAGACCACCCCTTGTTTGCACAAAACGGCAACAACTTCATGCTGTTATTGTTGAGTCGCTAAAGCCGTTCTTTCCAATCACTTTTCAGTCTTTGCACCAACATGTGCATTAAAGTCGCCCACTAGAATGAGGGACTCCGTCTGGCACTGCTTACAGAGCACGCTCCATTTCGTCCACGAAGAACTCATATTCTCCTTCTAAATTGTGTGCATAGACCTGTACCAAGGTCAACGCTTTCTCCTGTTGTAGCTTCAGCCGGAGGATCGTCATTCTTCTATAATTTTGTTAGTCAAGTTTGGTTCTGCCAGAACACCATCACCGGCCTGAGCACGTATCGTGATGTTTACATCTGAGTAGAAAAGCTTCCACCCGCTGAGATTCAGATTTTCAGGACCTTGACACTTCATTGACGAGAGTCGGTACCTTTCGTTCTCATTACTTCTGCTCGTTCCGTCGGAGTGAGGATATATTCCAGTTTCCAATTGTGAATCCCACCGTGGGTATTGTTCCCGTGAAACTTTATTTGATGTGCTTTAATGGCATGGCGCTGTCTGCGTCCTCTCTTCAGAACGGGTAGCGGTTATGTTGCTGACTGGCATTTTTATCGGTCTTCGGCAGACGTCGCTGTGCTGTAATGCCCCTCTCTGCCAGATGGTGAAAAGCAGGTTATGATCGCCAAATTTTCGATTGGTCCGCCTCAGTTCTCCAACAGTCTGCAATCCCCTTGCATCCCGGGTGACGAAAGAACGAGTAAAACGTTTGACAACCGCGATATCTTGAAATACGGGTAGCTAAGTTTTACGGGAGACTTCGCCAGGTCCCAACCCTCCTTCTTTCTCATCCAGGCTTTGAATCCGGTGGAGTTATAATAAAATTGATATATGCAAAATTGGTTTATGCCTCGCTATATTTACTATATGTTTGGGAGAGTGAAAATTATTACTAGGATGTAGAGTTGCCGTTCGCGGCGAATTCATGATGAGTTTATTTACACTATTTATGTACTTTCTGAATAAACCGTGACGACCGTGATCAGTAAAGGCTGAACATCAGGCATGCTGACATATCTCCCAATCTTTAAGCAAGATGACAGCCCTTCCATCGTAAGAATGCACATAAGACCAAAGTTATTGAGCTTTTACAAGGAGAATGATGCAGAAAGACGTAACTTCTGAGTGGATCCAATATTTCATAACCGATTGATACATTTAGGGAGAAATTGCTCTAATTTTTTTATCTGTTTAAGCTTCGTCAACGCTTATTTGCCACTGACATTCATGTGAACCTCTGCGTTTTGTATTCACACCGTTCCACATGTGTAACGCTTACTAAACACTTATGTAAATATTCTTGGTGCTCTAAGCTACAAATTCGTGAACGGCTATGAATTTATATTAATAATTTTTTTCTGACATTAATTTGCAACATGGTTTCGTGTATAGGAGCATATGAATACGCACATAGCGGCTGCAAAACTTGGATGTGTTATTTGTCGCACCGTCTTCGTTATTGTTGGTCGTCAGAGCTGGCCACCACTCAAGTAAATTACGGCTCTATTATAGATGAGCACCGGTAGTAATGGATGCATCCCGCATTACTGACTAGAGCAATGCCTTATTTGTTGCTAGGGATATTTCATGAGCCACTTTTTTCAAAATGTAGGGAAACTACGGCGGTTCGTAAATAGCAATATCCTTAACTTTACAGGTTTACTATAAAAATTAGTTTTTGATGCCGCTGATCAACATCACATAAATCGCTTTTCGGGATTCGCACTTCGTAATTGCACTACGTCGTTTTCTCTAGTGACCAAAAGAAGATTTGAGGCAGACCAATGATCCATGACACTAGGGCATCTCTAGTACATGGATGCATAACAGTTTAATCTGGATTTCACATCTTTAGCGATGAACAAGCTATTAAAATGCCAGCAAAATGATGTGATGCACATCTGGTACTGCATTGCTGACATACTATGCAGCTGCTTTCTGCTCATGTTGTTTCGTGAATTGCTAGAAGCACTGGGTGGTGAAATATGACTAACCAGGTTACTTTAACAAGAGTACTAGCTGAATGCCTCCAGACCATCTTTTTTCTGTTGGCTGACTATCTTGTATTTGTGCTGACGACAGCTCCGCTCTTTGATGCTTATATTGTTTCTGTCATACGCATGGGCATTGTTTGACACGAGGAAATAAACCGTGGTCGAAGGTATGGCGAAGCCGCGCAAGTTTAGACTAGCTATGACAGTCTAAATTTCAGAAGCCCGTCGTTGCAGTTCAGATTATCCTACCTTCAGCTTTACACTCGTTTGATTCACAACTTGATATTGACAACACATTGAAATTCTTGCTGGTGATTAGTCACCGGCCTTATTGTTAGTATTCTGTATTATAGCACAAAGCCATTGGTTAATTAAAAATTGATTGTAGTTCTAATTAAATATTTTCATATTTTAGGGGACTATTCTTTTGTTGAACACTTACAGCAGTGGCGATCACACAAAATTTCGACATTTATTCCATCCACCGTTTCGTTCTGAATAACAACAGCGATCTTTCCTCTAAAGGTTGAAGAGAAAATTTCAAGAATACTGAGAAAAAGTTGAACTCTAACTTAAAGATCAATGGCAGCAGTCATTGTGACTGGCCGAAGAGCAAGAATAACAACAATTGTACATATTTACAATCGAACCCAGTATAATGAGCGTCTCTTCTAATACCTTCTGTACATTGTTTGTCTTTACCATAAATTTCCTTAAGCAACGAATTAACCACACATTGCCTCAGCTCGGGTTTACTTGGTAGATAGAGTGCCGGACTGATAACTGAGAGATCCTGAATTCGAGCTCGATCAGAGTCACTGGCTTTTACTCCTTTCGTGGTAAAATGAACACTACTGTTAAATGAGCAGGAATTAAACTGCAGAATACAGACTATGCTTGTCACTTTGTTGCTTCAATTCTGCCTTTAAAAGTAAGGCTGTTCTGGTTGACGAGGTGAAAATGGAGATCAGTCCCCTAAAATTAATTTCTTTAAAACAAGGGTGTTAGAATTGGGGCCAGTCATGCACGTGTATGGAAGAACGGCATTCCAGCGGTG